TTAAACAATAGGAAATAAAAAAATTTAAAAATCATTTTCATGTGGCCTCTGATGATAAAAAAACGGATAAATAGTAATATAAAAATAAAATATTTTTTCAATGATTAATCAAGCTTTTAATTTTTAACCTAAGTAAATTGTTAATATCAAAGTGAAAAATAACATTTTGTTAATTTTTCCAACGGGAATCTCTTCTGAGATCGTTTAAAAATTGCTCCAAAGAAGAAACAAATCTGAGATTTGTTATTTAACCATTATCGCACTTGCAATGTTAATGTTCAAGTGGGAAAAAATTGTTAATTAACTAATACATAATAAATAGAAAACATTTTTTTGACCACGTATTATTGTTCATTCAACTGTTTAGTACACGCTTGAATTTTTTCAATTCGCAATTTTCATATTTAATAAGTTTAAATAATATTTATTCATTAAAGGTTCACAATGGGCGGAGCTTACGCAAACCAGGGCCTCCATTTTTGGCCGTATTTTCAACCCTCTGGGAAAATTATAAATATTGGTCCTACGGTTTCGAGAGATATGATTTTTTTTGGGGAAATTTCCTTCTCTTTCTGAATCTTTTTTCAAATTTGAAAAATGTCAAAAAGTTTTTGAGATATTTGCAAAATACCAAACCCAATTTTTTATTTTCAGTTAATTGTTTATAACTTTGCAATTTTTGCAAGCGGCTCTTGAATTTTTTCAAAAATCATCTACACGCTATTCCGAATCGAATGACACCTCGTTTATATTTTTCGAAGGCGGAGAAAAAAGTTTGACCCAAGAAGCACTTGTTAACATGACTTTTATTCTAAATTCAAGTTTTTGTTTCGTTTATAGGTGATAATAGGTTTTTAAACTATTATTCAGTATTGTTTGCTAATTACTGTTCTCGTATATAGCCATCATTTATATCTACTCACTTTCTCAAAATTCAATACGCCGTCGCTCAACTCATTTAATATGAAATTAGTGTCTAATAACCTATTAGTCTCATCTAATACATTTTTGTCAGTGACATCAGGTGTCCTATGTTGACGATTTAGCTCTTCCAAAAAAAGTTTCTCCCTAGAAACTTCCAAGTATGGCGGGCTTGAATCACTTGAACAAGTTGAAGAAATATCAGAATAATATCTGAAGACCCACCAGAAAATGGTTCATTTTCACTCGGGCTATCTTCAAAATCATATGGGTCAGATTTAATAATATCCTAAAAATGTATCGGTCAAGTCTCCTAGTCTCCAAGTCTCTTAGTCATACAAATATAAGACACTATGATAAAAATAAAACCCAAAATAAAAATATACTGTCATGAAATTCCTAATCCGACTCTGTCTAAGCAAGCGACCTTCACGTCTGTGGCACAGAAATAGATATCAGATAGGTACATTTTGGAGTTTTCCAAATTCTAAAATTACAACAAATTGGAAAACTTCATTTGTTTGATTCACTGAGGCGAGAACCGAATTCAATCTGAAGCTTAAAGATATAGATTACAAATTAAAGAAAAAAAGGCGCAACACCATAAACCGTTGTCACACGGTTTAATATATCATAATATATAACAAATTTCCATCTTAATTTCAATAAAATGTGTAAATTCTTTAGAAAAAATAGAATTTGTATATCGTAAAAAACAACCATGTAAATTACCGTCAAAAAACGAAAATGGCTTATTGTCACCAAAGTAACCTAATATATCTTAATATAACGCTATGTAAAAAAATAAAGCAACATAAAATTATAGTAGGTAATTCTTATTTATTTTTTTGGTTCGAAGAGAATATCTTGTCATTTTAAAACTTTACTACACAATCTAGACTATACCGATTGCAATACGCGACTAACACGTTAACAGGTACCAGATAATATGAGCAAGTGCACGTGCCAAGTTGTTTGTTTATAAAAAATGGCAACATCGCCGGGCTAACCAAAATATGATTAGAATATTTTTTTTATATTATTGGGCTGACCTTCATATCATACCCTCATTGGGGACGACTTTGGTATGATTGACATGTAAAATTTAAATCTTTGAGATTTTCTTACCTCTCTACTTTCCCCTCTGGGGTAAAATACATATTAAAAAATAAATATTGAAACGTATACACCTCAAGGTACATTGGAAATGCCGGGTGGACCAGAGGTCTGTACACATAGTGGGCTGACCATTATACTATTTACGAATATATATATATATATATAAAATATAACACAAAAGTAACGGACCATAGTACAAACAAAACTGGTTTTCTCAGAAAACTGAACTAAAGTAAAGTATTCCAAATATAAGAAACATTAGTGTCTAATCACAAATCATAAACCAAAAAAAAAAGTATGGACATTTTAATAATAAAATTAATAATCAAAATCACGAGGTAACGACTCGTTACCTTGTGATGCGGCGGCGTCATTCGTAAATCGTAGTATTTATTTCGTATAGTTTTGGCGGCTGGCCGGCTGGACACACCTTCGGCTTCGGCAAAAAACCTTGGGCTGATTTTGGCCGAAGCCGAATGTGCGGCCGAATGTGTTTTTTTGGCCGAAGGTGGCCGAAGCCGAAGCCCAAGCCGAAGCTTCGGTCGGACTATAATAAATATACACACAATCAAATGTATATGATGTACTAAAAAAAAACTTTGCAAAAAAATATTTTCTCATAAAACACTCATATTTTGTTTTTAGAAATACTGGGTGATCCTATATAAATTTGTTTTTGATTGCACTTCGGGTATTAGCGTTATATAAACCTATTATAATTGATATAAATATAAATAAGTAAGTCGCTTTATTCCGATAAAGAGTCATAATCATCAGTTTCCTCACTTCCCACAAAAATAACAATTGGTTCTAGTGTTTCCTCTATTAAAAGATCAAGTTTCCAGTTTTATTATAGCGTTTTGCCAGTTGTCCGGTGAAATTTTTGATATGGCGTCACATAATAGTTGACGAACATCTTGAAGTTTAATCCCTTCATTTAATCGCAGTTTAGTTAAAATTTACAGTGATAAGGTGGTAACCACAACAACTTAATTCCATGTTCTTTTGATATTTCATCTACACTATACTTCTTAAATTTTGGTGAATGCTATTTACATAACTGAAATAGCTCTTTTTTGAGTAATTCTTCTTCTGTCACTATTTCATTGGTTATTAGCCAATCGGAGAGTTCTTGCTGTTTCCATTTAGTGTTAGGTTACGGTTCCTTTATTTTTGAATGGTAAGTGGCATTTGACTGAAATATTCTTTAAAAACATCAGCAGTCATTTCTTCCGGTTTTACGTTTTAGATGCTACTGTAATACTTACATCCTTTCGTTGCTACAAAAGTCTATAAATGGTTGCTTCTCCAATCACGGTCATATTTGTATATTTAGGAACTATGCTCTGAACAGTACTATTAAAATGTTCATGTACAAGAGCGTTATGTACATTTAATACTAAAGTTGTCATATGCGCGGTAAAATTGTACTTTAATTTCACAGGAGTATAATTAGTCATTTGTGTCATTTTTATTGCACACATTCACTTGAACAATGTCGCCTCTTATTGCCTATTGTTAAGGAGCTAACAATTTTGCGTGGTGCAATGACAGGACTATATAAACAGAAATATAAATCTTAACTAAAATAACTTACAATCTGCGTAACACTTTCTGCCGATTAGATATTTTGATATTTTCTACCTGTAGAGATTACATACTTACCTCATTTTTGTTGAATAAAATGACTAGAAAATTTAAGACTAGAAGTGAAATAAATTGATATTTTTTAAAATTTGAGGAAGAAAACTTAAGATTTTATTTTGGAACAAATATTGCTAAACATTTTATTTTAGCAATTCTCCGTTTTTGATTTTGCTTTTATTTATATTTTAAAATAAACTATAGTGACGTGTCGCTGATTGCGTAAAGTATTGAAATTAGAACGTGCTTCGGAGTTGGTTTCTGATTTTTGAGCCTAGATAGTGCTTGGTATAATTAAATAATATTATTTTATGCTTCAATATATTGAACGATTGTTTTATGCTTGCTTTATTATGTTGAATGTTTTAACAACATGCTTGCTAATTTGCTAAGTAAATCATTCTATTTTTTAAATAAATGTTTTTCGGTATATTTTACTTTTATTTAATAATAAAAGTATTACTTAATAGATCCGAGTTTGCCTGTAGTACGTATATATTAATTTATTTATTTTCTTTTACGTTATACTGTAAAAAGGTAGAAATTATTATTTTTCGGCAACGTAATATTCCATATTTTGCGCATGTTGTCCTTTGCCTTGGTACCAATGATAACGACATACTGTTCTATCAATTGCATTAATTGTTTTTTGGGTTTAGGCAGGTTTTAAATCCAAGCGGAATTGATTGAAAATACTTCATCATGCAGTGTTTTTAGATACAGTTTGTTTTGATTGGCGTGTGTTGGAAAAAAAAGAGAATTATCATTGGTCAATTTTTTATTAAATACTTATTTTAATGATCTTTCTATGCTTTGCGAATTGAAGACTTTGGTGCAAGAACCAGGCAAGTCCACTTTTTTGAAATGTTGGGAAAATGATGAAAACCTTTCCACTTGGAAACAAGTTTACAAAAATGAAATATTTGGTAAATTTTATGTAATATATACTAAATGCATTAGAGTAGCAAAAAAAAAGTGAAATAATTCAGTCAGCTACATATTTTTAAAATTTTTTGTAAATTTGGACTTACCTGTTTCTTGCACCAAGATATTAAAAGACGAATAATATGTTTCTCAATTTTACTTTGTTATTATGTATTACATTAGTAGGAGTATTTTTCTTTAAAGTAAAGAAGAATCGGTTTCATAGCCCTCATTAGATACTTCAGATGGGTCTTCTTCAGGATGATCTTCGGTAGATAAATCTCCAAAAATAGTGTTATAATACGTCTGATAAGCTAGTGGGACGTATTTTTGCACCAAACTTTTGCAATGCTTTATTTTTTTGTCAATTATTAATAAACGATTTTTATAGGCTAATTCACTCGGTAGTGACAACTGACTTTGTAGGTTCGTCTTGATGAGAGAAAAACTTGAGAAAACAGCAGAAACAGAGCACTCAATAAACTTGTTGTTTTTTGTGTATTTAATAACTCTGTAAGTTGAGATTGCAAATATTTCTGCTTACCAGTTCCCATAAATGATTTAAATAGTTTTTTAAAATGTTCTGTATGGTTACGGATTATTTCTTGTTGGACGTCTATTACTCTGAAATTTTTCGATGTTGTTTGCACAAGGTTTCTCCACTCTTCTGGAGTATATATCCTCTCCTTTCTTCGTTTATTTTTTTCTATTAGCCCAAAAGAACGGTCGCAGGGTAGGAAGCTATGCCCTGGTTCAGGATACTGATGGATCATTTGTGTTATATTATTTGACTCTGTGTTGATTAAGGTGTATAGATATTTTACCAAAGTTTGGTATTTATTTTGCGCAAAAACATTGTCAGAGAAAATATATAGATCTGTAACTTCGGGGGGAAGGAAGATTTGGATAAAATGTTCTATAAAGCTGATTACTTCATTGGAACCTTTTTTTCCTGTAGCTTCGTCATACATATAAAATGTGGAAATACCACTTTTTGCTGAAAAAATGCAAAAGTTATACTCCCACAGTTGCCTTTTGTAGAAAACATCCCCTGCCGGTATATGCGGAAGTGGCAAATTTTGTTGGTAGTCAAAGCATATGGTCTCAACATTAGGATTCTCCTTCGCAAGTGCAGATTTTTTTTTGAGATTTGTATAAAATACTTCTGCTTTATGAATATGAACAGTCTTCTTGGTCTGAAGAGCTAATTTGTTTTCAACATCCGTCTCTGTAGCTATTAGGTTAACTAAGCGATCGCAGGTTTGGCACGTGTCTGACCGTGGTATCTCAAAACTTATATTATAGTTCAATGTAAAATGGCGGTAAAAAAAGTCAAATGTGACCTGTGGTTGACATTGTTGGCCGCTAACAAGACGTTGATAAAGAGTTGGCTCATACTTCTCTAAGTACATCTTATGCATTTTGGAAATATTTAGATCCGAAGGTAAGTAGTACTTACGATCATTTTTTTCTCTGCTGTAGTGGGAACTTCTTCTCGGAAAACTTTTTATGTGGGTATCTATCTGTATTTTTGTTTGGCAGGATATTTTATTGGGACGATTTTCGTGTTTCCCTCTCATATCGGAAAATGGTACTATGCTTGTCTTTAAACATGAAGCTAAGCGATCCACTCGATGTTTGGTGATTCCATGAATGGCAATAAAAGCTTTCCTACAAACTTTATGTTCTTCCGAACCAACACGTATCTGCAAAATAAAAACAGCAAGATAAGTAAAAACACCTTTCGAAGTGGTTGTAAATAATTAAGAACTTTAATGTTTTACTTACCTTATATGTATGTGAAACAGATTTTTGCGTTCCTTCACCGGTCCTTTGACATTTACGAGCTATTTGCTTTGACGAAATCAGCCCACTTAAATAAATATCTTGTTTCGCCCTCTCTGCTAGTTTATTAAATGTCTCCAAGATAGATTCCCTTATCTGTTGGGGCACTTTTAGGAAACAGCGTCGTTTACATGCACAATCTCTTCCAATCACTCGTTTCGGCATAACCTTTTTAACCGTATTGATGTACTCTTCTCCACTAGCTCTTAAATTTTTCCGGACATTTCTGGCCCATTTAGATTCACATCTTGGACGTTTTCTCCCTCTTTTTACATTTTCTATGTCTTGTGTATGTTTGCGGACACGTACTTTCGTTTTACGTCTTCCTCTACTTGTTCCTGGTTCGTCGATTTCAGTTGGGACGTATTCACTTTCGGAACTTTGAAAAGGTTCTGATTCTGAATCTGGATTCGACATTGTTTATTTACACGTTGACAAAAGGAACTCGCACATTCAAACAACGCAACGAACTAACAGTTGATGACGCACGGAAGCCGCCTTGCCTCTACTGTGTTGCTAAATTATCACTGCAGACAACTCCCCACCACAAATTGTTAATAATTTGGAGCAATAAGGTCTGTTCGGGTTCTTTAAAATACATTGAAAACTATCAGAGGACTAGTTGACCAGTGGACAGTTTAATAGTTGTGTGCGACGTATACTTTAGAATTGAACTGTTCCACTAGTTCTCGGACGGTTTGCATCGAGTTTTAAGGAAACCCGAACAAACCTATAATCGGCAAGTCCTAGACTTGCCCGTTTTTTGACCCAAATTGGCTAAATGGGCAAGTCCTTTGCCACTATATATTCAATATTATGCCATGGACATGCCTGATTATTGTACCAAAATATTGCCAACATACATTTATAGGAGATACCACATGTAACTCATTTTTTGTGGAAAATGGACTTGCCCGGTTCTTGCCCCAAGGTCTTCAATTACCCTAGAAGTATTTTTTACTTTGAATTTTTGGATCAAATCGGTTTTTTCTGCAAAATTTTCTGGGTAAATTTAAAGAGAAGTTATTACTTCTAAAACCTTACTTTTTCGTCTTCATGCTTATTTTTTTAAACTAATCCCTAATTAAATCCTATAAAAATAAACATTTTTGGGATAACATGAACATATTTGAATTTATGTCAGCTTTTCGTTTGCTGAACATTAATTGCTTGCTAGTACTGTTAGCATATTAAACTTGTAATAATGAGATCGGATTATAATTTCAAGCACGTTCTCTTAGAAATGTTTCACTAATTTGGATCCAGACGGACCATTCCCTAATTGGCTTTATCGTCAACTTAATTTAGCCGCTAACTTGACGTGATACTGGCTGGAACGGTCCTGCACCATACCCCTTTACCTTAAACCACATTTCATCACCTGGCGGTAATCATTAGGCTGTGGAATAAATGTTGTAGGAACCACAGGCTATGAAATATGGCGGAAAACCCATTAACATTTTTGCACAGTTGCCGATTCTCTCATAGAAAGATAAATTAAGCTTTATTCGGTGATTTCCATCGCATCCCATTTTACAGTGGTGGCGACAATTTCATAATTTTTTTAATAGGGTATATACAGAAATTTATTTTAAAAGAAAATTTACGTTCGTATTGTATCAAGAACTAGGAGGAGAAATATTAATTGGAGCATGGTGTAAGAATATAGGTGAAGCGATGCGCAGATTTTATGACGTCAACATCGGTATTGTCACGGCCGCCTACAAACTGCTATTGCTTTGTTTACATATTGTAATGATTGTCAAGCTATTATTCTTTTATTTCCTAGTTCTATAATCATTATAAAACTATACATATATATTTACTTATGCTGAATAATACCAGAAACTGTCAGGATAACTCGCTATAGGCATAAATTGGACCCTTATGCAAAGAAATTTAAAATAAAAAAATATTTTGTGCTCGTTTATATATAAAAATTAGAATTTATTTTCGATTTAGCTCAATATATTTACATTAGTTGGTATGCATTTTTGTTGAGGACAAACAAGATAGTATTCATCTGAAACTGAATTCTTCCACCACAAAACATGAAGAGGACGTACCTACTTCTAGGATTCAAATCTTTATATTTACCATCTCTATCTGATAGATTGAGATCAAGATTATAGCCAAAACGTCTAGATCCCATTTCTTCATATATCATTCGCATCACCATTAAAAAGTTTTAATGTATCAGTCCCGATAAAAATTGGATTAGATAAAAGGTATATACAAATAAGTAGATTTAAATGTTGTGAAAATGAAATATGTGATTCAATTACGAAAAAATTAAATAGATGTCCCTTATATAAATAAAATTTTCTAAATTGTTAACAAACGCAGAACCATACAATTAAAATGTTTTTTTTTAGTACTGGTAAACCCGTTTACGTATTTAATAAATAGAAACACTTGGCATAACATATTTTATTTTAATAAAAAGCACAGAGATGTCATTTGAAATTGGTTTATTCATGTTTAATTATGTTTATAAATTATTGTTACATAATGTTTACTTTTTTAATCTTGTTTGACAATTTATAATGTAAATTTGGCTAGTGGAGTTCTAGGAGTGACGGATTTTTCTGTTAGATGCAAATCTATATTTGATTTTGTGTATTTTTAGTTATTTCTTTTAGTTTTTGATGAAGACTTTCAATAGTTTTCTCTAAAATAACAATTTTATTTTGGTGGACACATCTGAAACAATGATATATAATTATTATTGAAGTGAAAGCAATGATCACTTCAAAGTTTAATTTTTAATTAAACATTTCTTTTAAAATCCTTGTAATTATGAGTTCTACATGCTAAGTTGTCTTATTTTCATTTCAAAGCCATAGGTACCGTGTACAATTTTTTGTTAATAAGGTAAATTCTGTAACGGCCCACCCCCAGTACCCCCTATTTGTTTTCGTTATTTCATTTTACTCTTTGAAATGTTATTATTTACCTCAAAAGTTTTACTTTAAATTCTATACTAAATGTAATTGACCTTTTTTCCTCTAGTAGTAAAAGTGATCGTCTAGTAAATTAATTAAAAATTTATATACTCACGTTGTGATAATGTTAATTAAGGTAAACCAGAATTCGATGCAAAGTTTGGTGCAAATTGCTAAATAGAACATACAAATTCATATTTAAACTCTTTTAATTTTTCATACTTTAAATGTGATGCAATAATTAGCAAAGTATATTACAATTGTTACCATTTACTGAGATCTCACTTGAGTCTCGTTCAAACGCAGACCATATTAATTTGCTATCAATATATATTTTATTTAGGTTGATGACCAACGGAGTTAACGAACAGCATCAATTCGCCAGTTGGTTAACTACTGTGTTTATGTTTATATTCTTATTTAGGTTGATGACCACCGGAGTTCACGAACAGCACCAATTCGCCAGTTTGTTAACTATTGTGTTGATATTTATTTGATTCTATTTTAGATATATACAGGTTGCACCCTCTTAGATAAATATATCGATGAGTATAGAGGTGATGACCAACGAAAGTAACGAACAGCGCCAATTTGCCAGTTAATTACCTTACTATGTTGATTTCATATATACTTTGTTTCAAACCTAGTAGAACGGGTTGCATAGCATATAGGTGTCCCCATTTGAGTTAACGGACAGTATAATCACCAGTTGGTTAACTTACTATTAAACTTTACCATCTTGGTTTGTACAATTTATCCAAGATAGCACATCCCTGTATATTTCTAAAATATTTTTTTTAAATTTCTATTGAAATGACTTAATACAACCCTGTATATGTTTTAATATTGATTATTATAATTTCTATTGAAATAATTTAATACAACCCTGTATATTTCTTAATATTGATTTTTATAATTTCTATTTAAATACTCAAAATTTCACCCATCGAAAACAGATGTTTATTCTTACTCTCCTTCGGGGTGTATGACCTGAAGGCCATGTGGTTTATTGATAATATTTTAACGAAACCCCAGTGGTATTTCAAAGAAAGTTACATAAATCTTTTGACTCACCATTGAAAATACAGACATTAGCATTGTGAACTAATTTCATCTAGAATTGTGACGGCGTCAATTTAAGTACGTCGCAGCGTTGAGTGTCGAGGCACCTAGCGTCGTGGTGGGAAGGAAGGTATTTAATACGGTACTGCATTGGGACAGATATATGGTAGAATTATGTAGGTGGTGCGGGACGTGATATTATGAAGGAAATATTTAGGGACAAGCGTCGGAAATAAGGCGTAGGACGTTGACAGCGTTTGGGAATAGGAGATATTGTAGGATAGACGTTGCTTACGAAGAACGTTTTAGAAAAGATACTGACTACTGAACTTAAAATATAGCTGGGTACAAATAATAAATGAATGCTTGCACATCAATAATAAAAATGAATGCATGTACATCAAATAATTAAAATGAATGAATGCACATCAAATAATTAAAAATAAATGAATGAATGAATGCAAGCTCCTTTTGGTTAGACTTTTTATACTAAATTTTAATAGCTTTTGTGACGTCTTTATCGTTTTAGTTCTCATCGAAAATACGAATGTGGGCGCAAAGGTAGTATTACTTGTCTTGAAAGTTTTGTGTATCGAAATATTGTCGAAATCGGTCTTAACATCAAAACTGGAAAGCTAAGCGAGTTAAGTATTTTAATGATAATTACTTCGTGAAAAGAAATATGTTTTATGATCTACGTTCCGAGATACGTGCATCAAATTTGGATCTTTTACGGACGTGGTTATAGATATTATTTATTAGGTGTCGTAAATAAGATTTAATTATCTGGGAGATTTTTCGTTAAATGAATTATTTTGAATTTAATAAGAATGCAATATTGTATTTAATAAATGGAATTATTAAATTATTAAGTTACCTGGGTGCGGTAAGTTACAATTCGTACTTACGTTTCTAGTTCTAAAGAAACTAAAATAAAAAAGCTATCAATAAAGGTTTGTCGATATTTTCTTTTCGGCCTTATTAATCTATTATCACATTCTGTAGACAACGGTTGTCTTTTTTTAACTCAAAAATTTTTAGTAGAAACTGTAATTTGTTTTAAATTCTTGTCAGTTTCAGGTGAGCAGTTTAATAGCATCCATCTGTTGTGAGAGTATTTCAAAACTTTGCATTGAAAAATGTGTAGAACAAATACAAGCTTAAAAAAACATATACAAAAATGATTATAGTTCCAATTTGTTTTGCAAAAACCCTACCATTCTTAAGGTTATTTGTATATTTCCTCCTGCAAGCGTTGATCTGTTCCTTGACTACGTCTGTTTTCAGAGACCAAAATACTTAGTATTTGTTCCCTTTGTTTTTCGAGAATAGTTCTTGTGGCCAAACACTGCACAACCTGGCGTTTTTCTAGTAACTAAACTTCCCAAAATAGCATATTTTAATATCCCA